CATATACTTAAGCTTTTAGGGTACCACCTCTCTTTACCTTTACTCTTCATACTTTACCTTTACTCTTCATAGTAATATTAGTAACTAAGTAAATTTTAGATTACTTTAGTTTTATATAAGATTTAGAGAGGTAAGTACTTAAGTATATATAGAGAAGAACTTATTATAAATTTAGTAGATAATTACTACTAGTATAGATAGAATTATATAAATAAACTGTTCGTAAGTATATATCTCTATTAGAACTATGTCTTTAGTATAATATTCAAGGTTTTACGCCTACTATTAGTATACGAAAATATACGCGCTAGGGATAGTTTTGTACCCCGGGACGGCCCGCGGCGGGTGTTAGATATTTTTCGTATACATCTGGCCTCGATTTCCTAGAGGGCTAAATTCTATAGTAGATTTATGGACTATTCTACACCCTCTTTTCAATGGAATGGAATATTCTATGGCATGGAGGGGGTCTGGAATGGAAAGGAATTCCAAATGCCGAACGTTGCCCCTATACCCTTTCACCAACCCCCCACACTACAAAATCCTTAAATCCTCAAAATCCTCTCCACCAGCCCAACTCACTATACATACCTCCAACTCCAACCCCAACCCCAACCCAAAAACCAATCCATCCCCCCTTCAATCTCCCCTCCATCATCCCCCCCAATCTATCCNTCACTATACATACCTCCAACTCCAACCCCAACCCCAACCCAAAAACCAATCCATCCCCCCTTCAATCTCCCCTCCATCATCCCCCCCAATCTATCCCCCCTCTATGAACTTTCCAAGATCACGATCTAAATCAACCCTCAACCCTCAACCCTCAACCCTCGACCCTCAACCCTCGACGCTCGACCTAGGCAGAAACATAAATCCCTATATGTAAGTATTATTTACAGTAGACTCGTACCACAATCTTAGCACCACCATCCGTATCTTTGCTATTTCCATATCTCGTGTCAGTGGGTGAGTGGGTGGGTAGGTAGGTGCTTGTAAGGATTTCGGGAGCTCGTATTTTATAAGATTTTTATAACGTATTTATTACCTAGAGGATGAGGAGGGGGAGGGGGCGTTTTTGGGTGTGGGGATGAGTGATGGGGGTGGGGGAGTGTTGGAGGGATAGACAGATTGATAGATTGAGATT